AAAATCAAATGTAATTCCAAAATACATCGGCTGATCCAAACATGTAAAATATGCATTATATAAGAATTGACCATTCCATTCTTGTTTTTACTAATTAGTGATTGGTAAATTAGGAGTTTTACATTAGTAGATCTTAAATAAATGTTTTGCAAAATATGTTATGTATAATCTGAGATTATTTGTCTTCCAGACTGTCAATGTGATTCCCAAAGTCAACATTGTGTAAGACAACACATTAAATTTATCCAGGTTTTCAGCTCTCACTAGGACAAGGTCGCCATATAACATGTATTTTTTTTTAAGATCTTAAGGGATATGATTCTTCAAATTCTTCATGATTTTTCATATCTTAATAGGACATGGCTTTTCGATTTATATGATTTTCAGCTCTTACTAGGACAGGGTCAGTCCTCAGATGGTATATAATGTTTCAACTTTATCAACTTAAGCAAGCTTTCATATATTGTTTGCATACAGTATGTTCCGTTTTTTTAACACTGATCACATTTTTTCTCTCACTTGGACAGGGGTGAGCTGTCATTGATTTGTAAAAACGAGTGCATGTTAGACAACTTAGCCACCCATGTCCCCCCTCACTTTCACACTTTGACAGGGGTGAGAGTCATAGACTTGTGAAATTTGGACAACAAAACCACCCAGATTCCCATCCCCCACAACGAAGATTAATATTCCTGTAACTTTTCATGCATTTGGTTCATTGCTACTTAATATTAATTCAGTTTATGTAAAGGAAAAAACTAGCATGAAGTCAAGTTTTAAAACTTGATGAAATTGTAACTTCTGCTATAAGTATTAAAATTAAATTTCTAATAACTCCCAGTGTTGTATTCATGCAGTGCATACAAATAAATACAACTATAAATTGCTCGATTTAAATAGCCAACTATCAATAAAAAAAAATCTACTGAATCTGACGAAGTATTCGGGTCTCTGAAACCTAAATATGTAAATACTTTCCTTTAACAGTTCAATAGTACCAAACGATACTCAAAAAGAATTTACAAGTTTATTGGAATCATTGCTTGTCAGAAAAGTTTGTGAAAGTAGCTTCGTCTTGCACGATGTGAATGAAACAAAATAGGCCATAACAAAGAATTACCCTAAAAAAGTTGAACATCAGCTTTAAAGATGCAAAGTGAAAAGTCATACCTGCCATGTTTTGCAGTGTTATAGTGTCAGGGGGATTCTAAAAGTGTATTTCGAGTTCCCTGTGGGGACAGATTGCATGACGTAAAAAGTGATGACCAAGTGAGAAAAGTTGATTTTATTAGATCAAAATCAATATTTTTAACGAAAACAACAAATTTGCGTTTTCTTTGAAGTATTTAATATACTTACAAAGCAAAACGTTTTCAAAAGACTTGGCAATGCGTCATTCTAGCTATTATCAGCCAGTTAAGTAATCAGTCAAATGGCGGTTCCTTATCTCTGACCACCTAATCTTTTAATTGACTCCAAGTTAATTAGCTGTATAAAATGCCTGAAGTAAGATTTACATGGGGTCTAAGTAGGGCCGTTTATTCTTTACTTGCTTCGGGCATGTTCTCTATACCATAGTGGTGGTCAAAGCATCTCCTGTTTTTTCCCCCTAAGATTATGTTAAATTATCGTCATATTATGGCAGGTATTAAAAGTAATATTTTGTTTCACGGTATGACGATGATGTTTTGTTTTTTGCTTTTTCCCTGCACAGGTTACCAATTTCACTTTTAATAAAAAGCATGACAGGAACAATATATGTGTAGGATCTTTAAGATTTTAAATACGCATAAAAAATAAATCAATTATAAACCAATTAAACTATTAGATCACGCTCTACATAGAGGAATCATAATGTCACTATATTCAAAATCCAAGACCTAGAAGACTTTCACAAGAACAAATATCCTACGTTGAAAAAGCACGACGCGCAGAGGGTGAATAGCGGAGCGGTCTTTATAAAATGTACCGAGGCGCAGGCATCACTTCCACCCAACCCACTGTTTCCCTTGAGGTCGCAGCCCTAGCTTGCAGGCTGTGTCTTCTCTGCAATATGTGCTATCTGGCTACTTTCATGAAGGTAAAAATAAGTGATAATGTCCGCGTCGATGCTGAAACCAAACTACTGTGGATTGTATTTCACAGGCCCTTCCAGACAATCTCATCTCAGAGTTGAGCTTAATTCATCCTAAACAGGTATGGAAAATACATGATCATGGGAAAGTAGATACGGACTGCACAAGGCACATGTTGCCATCAATGAAGGGTCGAAAAAGGAGTTGATTGCCCGCGGAAGGACCAAGGCCCACTCGGAGCTCTTGAAGCAAATGATTACCGCTGATGTCCAATAAGCTGTGTCCGCTGAAGCCGTGGGTGCGTTAGTTGCAGCTGCAGTTGCAAAACAGCATAAGTGTTTTGTTTTACAACGCGTCTTGTTCAGCGCGTCTCCACCACTCAATGCTGTATTTCAATAATAGAAATATTGTATATTTTATGGCTGTTCTATACAGCACCTTGAATGAACTTAGTAGATGCCTCACGAATTATTGCCTTTATTCTATGTAGACCTTTACGTACTAAATAGCATATCGTAAACTATCAATATTGCTATAAACATTTTCATTTCTTACGAACCTCGTACACACCGAGCCATCAAATAACCATGGCTTCTGAAACGAATGTTGTCTAAAGTACGACGGCTACAATAAGAAAACTCCCTTATACAACTTGTCCCACTAGAATGCGTCGGCAAAGATTATACTTATAATTTGCAACCGTCATCAGCTAGCCCATAACAGTCATTCAGTTGGAAATTTCGTCTCTGTTTTATGCACTAAGATTGCCCTCGGACATAAATTCATTTCGTTTTCCTACAGCCAACTGATTAGTTCCCTTCTCCATTGATTGCATTCATGCATATGAGTTTAAATAAACCACTATGAAGTTTCTAGGGCAAAACAAAAGGAGGAATTCCAGTGTAAATAAAACCTTACATATCTTTGCGTGAGTTGAATCCCCACTTAAAATCAAGGGTGAAACAATATGCCAGGTATTCCAGAAGTTTAAGCTTGACAGCAGTTACCCAAAAGAGGATGAAAAGCGCATAACTGCTGGTATGCGTGTATGTGTGTGTTATGTGTACGAGGTTAAACTCACGACCGAAGATCAGTCAACTTTCAAGCATGCAAATTTAAAGGACCTAACAGCTGCCTCCAACTAAATAAAATATTTTATTCTGCGTTCGACAACACAGTAGGTTGTAAATCTTAGAACCAGTTTCTCTTTCTATCATGAATAAAACTCATTTACGGAATACATGTTCAATGTTAAATAAAGATGTCTCAACTGGCACCACAATTTACCTAAACAAGATTAAAATCCCGTGTCTTTGTGCCATCCTCCATAGCAATGCGAAGATTATCAGCTAATTACAATCCATATATTTCTCCACACCAGGTGAATGTCTATGTTTTTACAGTTGATTTCAGAATATATAGGAAACATTTCTGATTTAATACTTAACTACACAACATGTACTAACCACTTATGGGCCGTATAACATAGACAGAGCTGTTTTTACTACGGTTTAACTCTTAATAATTGATTATAATGCACAGGTAGCGTGAACAAATTTGGCCAGTTTGAATTGTCTTGTGTTTTCGTTTACATAAATTTCATTGACTGCGTGTGGGATTTGCATTTTGACATACAGAATGCTTTACATGCGTTTTATGTTCAGTGCACAGCTTATATTATAAGGTTTATGGACCCTATCTTATGCTCGTAGTCAGAGAAACTACAGTTAACAGGCTCGTCATCTCTCGATTGATCAATCAGTAATTTTGGAGTGCAGCGGGCTAACTCGTTCAAAGATAATATGATCACTGTAGGATGTGTGCATATTTTGTCCGAAAAAGGAATCAAAGTCTTCGGGTTGGGGGCATAGCACTGAACCATACTCTTGGACTTTATACCCCTTGACTCGCCAGTAAACATTTATTATCGGTGGCATTGCAATTGCTAAAGTCATTTAGAAAATAAATTGTGTATAACAAGTAAGGAATGGATCTAAATGATGAGCTATGTGGCAGACTGCAAGCAGTTAGCGCCTAAGCTCGCGTTGAAAACAATCTAGTTAAGCGGCCGCTCGCAGATTTGCGGACTGATTGCTTATATTTTGGCGCAGCCTCCATTACAGAGAGGAAATATAATTTTTGTCGAAAAGGTGCAAACTGGACGGTCTTACCGAGTACATCGCGTACCAGAGTGTGCTCTTTGGCGGCAAAGGACCCCTCAGAGCTCTCCAAGGGCCCCGCAAGGACCCATTATGTTCCCTCATCCCTCGCTGCTCTTTGACTACATATTCCCTGACTTATTATCAATAGGCTCATGTTCTGACGTACACATATAAAACCTTTCTTTACATGCCCATGCTCATTCTTATCACAAGACGTTTGCAATATTAATTTCCATTGGATCCCCAAATGCCACACATCACTACTTCTAGATATTTCTTCTTTTCACAGATGTAAAAGTATATTTTAGCATTGACGTTCTTTGAGTTGTTTTAATCATGTTTACAAAAGCAAAACTTAAAAACGTCTGAAACAAGTACACCAGTCTCTCCAGTTAGTTGTTAAACGTGTCGTTTTTTATTCCTTACATAATCTCATTTTCTACATCTAAGCTTCTGGTAATTCATTTTTTCTTCTAATAAATAGTTAATATTACATTGTATACAGGCATGTATAGACGAAAACCTTACATGCGAGTGTGCAGTGTGTGCATGATTTGAATTTTTAACGTTTCAACAATTTTTTACGATGTCTTCAGTATGGCAGTTTATAGTGATGTCTGGCACTGGGGTATCATAACGCAGACTTTCAGCATAATGTTCCACCCAGTCGCATTATCTTGACTAGTTCCAACACTAACCTCTTAATGCTGAGCGCCAGGCGAGGCATCTGTTATTGCATTTTTTTAAACATAAATCTTTGATATGCCTCGACCGGGGTTCGCACCTGCGATCTCCCGCACCCGAGGCGGACACTCTAACTATCAGGCCACCGGAGCAGTGTACGATTGTGCAATAGTCACCGCAAGTTATTATATCGTTTAATCAATATAATATCTTATTTATTACCAAGTTAAGCAGTCCGAAAAACGAATTCTTTCCTAGACATCCAAACAGGCTTAATTGTTGCTTACAGCGAAACATGATTAAAATCAATTTATTATAAACTACGAGTTATATGAACGTTTTGTACTCTGATGGAACGGTACATTCTACTTATATAAAATATTAATTTTGCGAATTACAACAAGAAATGTCTGCATGCATATTGGGATTATATTTTTCTAAGTACAATACGTACGGTTACCAAAATATAATGACAAAAGAAACTATGATAAAATATCTGAATAATTTTCATTTAAAGAAAAAATATCAATTAAGATAATTGTTTTGTTAAAACCTACCATTGCGAAAGGATGAATGGTATACATGTCGGCAGTCGTGAAAAAGTCTTACAAACTGGTCATTTACATCTCATGTATATCCGACTTTGCTAATATACTGGTATATATTTGCTTTGTTTCGTCCCACTGACATACTAGTGACTTGCCACTTAAAAGAAACATGGCATTATACCGCGTACGCATTGGTGACAGTGCTTTAGGCACGAGACATTTCTCGTTGCGAATGATGAAGAAAACAGAAAGGTGTGTGTGTGTATGTACATTAGGGGTGTGTAGGCCAGTTGATATAATCTTGGAAGGCTTGCATATAGAACACACAGACTATTTAAAATAATGTGTGGAAATTCAATTAAAATTTGAGGAAGGATGTATATAACACCAGTGTCTCATCTACTCCACCTTCCCTGCATGAAAAAAAAATATTTGGTTTCTTGACAGTATAATTCTTGAGAAACACTGACCTTAACGTAAATAATAATCCAGGTGGGACGTTAAAAGACCGCAAGGATGGAATATACGTACAGGTGTTTCCATCATTTGTTCTTTTTGCATTTGTGGCTGGATATAGAAACGAAAAAAAGCACGTTTTCATTAAGCAGTGTTTTATTTGTAATGCAATAATATACTTTATTTGTACGATTCGATGTCTTAATAAAAATTTTATGATACAATAAGGCTGTGCATTGGCAAGACTTGTATATGCAATAACAGTTGCATGTAAGTTCATTTGTGTCCGTATACACATATGCATGAGTTTGGCATAAAACGTCCAATCAAAAAGACTTACATAAAATACTTTCAACACGATCATTCACACATAAAGAAAAAGATATACAAGACTTATGAAATATGCTATTTTTGCATTCAAGAACCAAATCTATGCACTTGATTCATTTGCTGTGTCTAGAACTTCGCCGTATTTTTGTGTGGTCTATAACAGTGTTTTGCTGAGTGTATTAGACATACACATATAGAAAGCTCACCTAACTGAGAACATGACTGGACAAATATTTGCCGTCACAGACATAATGCAATATCACACCAGTATATGCATTATCCTTTCCAAGTAATCACATCAGTATCGACTGTGTTATTTCAACGTAATTCAATATCCATGGAGCCAGCACAAAGGGTTAAGGTGAGAGCGCACTGGTCCCACATTTCATCTCTACATCCGTGAAACTTTTTTGGCGACCACTGCATAGTTTCCCCCACGCAACCCATCCACCAGTCCACCCCCGGAAAAAATTCTTTGGGCACTTCTGGCAATGCAACATCAGTATATACGTAATGCAGTACCATTATCCGCATTTTTCTTTTAAAGGAAGAGTTCATGGTATTACAACACGTGTCTGCTTGGTCAAAATGCGACATCAAATCTTTGTGTACGTTCTTAGCAATGATTTGGGCATTATATTTGGCTAAGTGCAATACCTTGCCCATCGCATGAAGAAATACATGCATGTAACAGTCATTCTGAATCTATTCATTATAAAGTCTGAGAACTATGTTTTAATTGTATATGTAAATTACCAATTATACATGTATATGATAAAAAGTAATGAAAAGTAAGTTATGCATCCAAACTAGTGACAAAGTATTTGTGGCTGAAAATAGTACTAGACCACATGCTACTGATAATTACAGTAATGATATTAGCATACTGTACAAACTGTAATAGTGATATATTGATATTAAGTTTGAATACTATTAGCATACATTATTTTTTATTAGTTATGTTCTATTTATAGAAAGCATACTTATCAACATGAGTAAGTACCCACTACTTTTATACTATATGAGACAAACTTGGCTAAAAATAAAAATTCAAAAAGATTTAACTTAACAATCGTATATAGTTTCTGGCTTTTATAACAAAATTTGGTGTAAGATGTAAAAATGTCACTACAATAGTGTGATATGTTTCTGAAGTCGCCCCCCCCCATCCCCCTACCCTTTTCAGGTTGTCAGTGTCAATCCAGACAAGAAACGTGCAACGAAATAAAACTCTCTTCAGTTTTGTATGAAAACATATATTGGGAAATATTTCACTCACGAAATGAAAAAATTTTGTATTGTTACTCCTGGCTTACCCAATTGAGATAACTAAATGTTTTCACTTCAGTCTGGAAATATTTTCTTATATCTATGTGTGTGTAAGTGTGTGTATTTCTATTTTTCTATTGTTAATGTTAACAAGTGTGGGCATTGAAAACCCTAATGGATCAAAATCAAACACTTGTGAAAAGATACAAAACTTTTTATTTTTTATTTGTTCAAGTCGCACCTACATACCCTGGTTTTTCGTATACACCGGAGCATGCCAGTCGGGTTATCACGATCGACTTCGAACATACTTTATCTTTTAAGTAAAATATAAATAATTTTTAAATAAAATGAAATATAGTTCATATAATGACTCAAATAAATGGTCGAGGAAATAATTCACTCGAATAAAATTAGATGTGATGTGATTATGATTTTTAACGTAGATTTAAAAAAAATTCAGTCATATTGCCACAATGTCTGCAGTGTGATAGTTTATATGTCTAGCACTGGGGAATCATGCCGCAGACATGTAGCATGATGTCCCACCCAGTCGCATTATCCTGACTCCAGGCCGACCAGTCCTAACACTAACCTCCCTCTTTATACTGAGCGTCACGCGATGCAGCTGTATGTATCATTTTTGTAAGTCTTTGGTATGACTCGACCGAGGATCGAACCCACGACCTCCTGCATTCGAGGCGGACGCTTTAACATATAGGCCAACAGATCAGTTAATAAAATTAGAAACATCGACTTATGGAACATATAAACTCGCCTGTATGCATCATCTCCTGCCACCATTTGACCAATTTCTCTTTATCTTCTTTCCATCCACCCACCTCTCTGTACCACTTCACGCAGCTAAAACATTAAACTTGAGTGACATTCTGACAATGAATATAAAATGACCTACCTTATTCACAATTTTAGATACATAACTGAACTATTTCTTAAACAAATTCCAACTTAGGTCTGCAAATTTACAACAGATTCCAAAAGAGAAGTAATGTATTTATCATTCGGATACACACAGAATGAAGAAATACAAAAGCAATGCAGATTAATTTTCTAATTGAAAACTGCTTTAACATTCTTTATTTCAGTTACATTTGCTTTCCTCTTTTGATCTCTATAAAAGTTAGTTAATTTCAACGGAAATTGAGAGCGTGATTTTTAATCAATGCACAAACATTAATCTTAAGTAAATATCCCATTTTCTTTTTCTGTCTTCCTGGAAGGAATTTGATATGTTTATATTAATAAATATTCGGATTAGAGTTTATTTTGAGAAAACAAATCTTGAAAATAATGTTTTATGATAATAGATATCAAATAAGATTGATTATATTTGCACATCTATCCCGTCGTCCCATCGGAAACACGACAATATGCCTCCATCTTAACCAAGGTATAATACATGTTTGGACACTCTCGGATGAATCAAAAGTAAAGTGACATTCATTACTGGAAATAGTGTCAAAAGAGGGACACAAAAGAGCTCAACGGACACAAATGTTTCGTCGTTTTCAGTGAACTGTAGAAAAACTCCATTGGTAGAATTGAAAAGCTATGATACGCAAAGTTTATCTATATCTATAGCACCATTTTCGTTACAACCTCTTTTAAAACATCAATTCATTTGGGATGTCGTTGTTATGCTTTTTAGACGGCTTATGTTCTATGCTGTTTTCATATGCTACAAGGTCTGCCAAGGTGTCGGTTATAAATATACTAAAGGGACTTCCTTCAATGTGTTTTCCTGACCATTGAATGTTTATGGTATAAATGCCTATCTCGTGAGGGTTGTATCGGCACTGGAAAAGTTTCTCCTTTTGACTCATTCTGTGCATCTCTACTTGGAACGCACCTGTAAAAAAACACATGTTTATATGTAAAATGTCCTATCATTAAAGAAACTTTAACAATATACAAAAATAATATGAAGTCTACGAAACTCACAGTTGATCTTCTTCCATCGCTTAAAATAAGTCATATAGAATACTTTGACCTATTGTTCCATTGACTTGCTAAGAATAATGTATAAGGCATTTTGACTGAATGTTTGGAAGTATCAACCTTGAACCAAAACGATGGATTGGATAACTAAATTTGAATGCCAGTCAAACTTGCAGAGGGCAGGCATATTAGTTAAGATGAAAAATGAAGAATATACTTTATAGTTAGTTAAACAATTGCCACTTTCCGAAATGCTGCAAGTTTATTTGACTTCATTATAAGACAAACGGTGAGTGCAATTATCCAGCACCACATAATATTTTGTTTGTTTTTGTCTGGGTGATGTTCCTTATTGTGGTAGGAAGATAATTTATGCTCTTCGAATTACTTGTATCGTATTTTGCAACACATCAACACATGAAGATTATATCGTGCCACGTTAAGTGAAATATAGTACTAAAGCACTCAACCAATCTCATCCGGTGGCAGGATTCGAATCCGTATAATTTAGGTTGCAAACCAGACACACCAAATATCTATCAGGACTGTTTTACCTGAGTGGAATAAAACCGTTTATAATTGTAAGAGCA